TATATATTTCCTATTTTTATCAATGGAAAGAATACCTTAAAAAACCACATACATTCTTTTTTTATCATTTCACCCCAAGCAAGGCGAAAATGTCACTAGGACGCAAGGAGTTACTTGGAGTGACATAGAAGAGAAAGAACAATCAGTTATGTCCCATTCGTGATATACGCTAGGCGATCATGTATCTTTCGATACATAACTGACGAGGCAGATGCCCTTTCCGCAGTTTGCCATTTCTTTCTGTGGTAGACCAGTTGCAATTCCAAGGCTATAAAACACAGTCTGTCCTGCTATTTATCCATAGCTGGTGGGAGAAAAAGAGGATTCATACCTTTCCCAATGGTATCAAATCGGGTTCTATAGCCTTGGATGGCAACTGGTCTACCGCAGAAAGAAATGGCAGACTACTGCGGCAAAAAAATCTGCCTCGTCAGTTATGTATCGAAAGATACATGATCGCCTAAGCGTGTATCACGTATGACACATAACTAACTGAAAGGACAATAAAAAACAAAATTCAGGAAGACAAAAGATGGAGATTGACATTGAATTTCAATTTCTGAAGATTATAGTAAGTAAGAAACTTTAAGAATAGAACATACGGTTGTATCTAAGGAGTTCAACAGTAAAACAGTGAGACCTAACTGCCAATCTAGTAGCACGTTTAAATTCATGTAATCGAGGCACCAAGGAGGAAAGCTCACCAGAACAATTCCCAAGATGATATTTGTAGAAAAGACAGAGGGAAGCCACGTCACGACTGAAGTCGATGAGCCAGGTCAGGACCGATTACAATATAGACCCTTCTTTGAATCTTGTCAAGAATCTTGAGAGTTATAGAAGGGGCACCAGACCATATATGGCAGCAACACCTAATGCATGACCGAATGATAGATTAATAAATGTGCGATACGGATTCTGATGAGAAAAATTGTCTTGTAGGACACAAAGAACTGTTATATTAAGCGTATGATGGCCGAACAAAGAAGAAACAACGGAGGTTTAAGAAATAAACGTGATCGTTTCCCTTAAATAAATATTTTTGGTGTCTTTGGATATGGTTGCAATGCAGGCACGTTCACTTTTCCATTGCGGCAACATCTGGAAAAAATTTTTAAGCCAATTTAATTTTTCGAAATTTCATGAAATTAAGCAAGTGGGTTGTAACATATGTAAAAAAAATGTTTACTATAATTTTCAGAAAAAAACAACGAACACAAAAATATTTTGTTCCATTTCCGAATAAGTCCTAAAATTTTCATTAAAATCCGACAATTATTTGATTTTTGCAAGAATTTGCAAATCAATGTGTTTTTCACCTGAAAAATAGGTGCAAAAACACTAACGTAAATATGACCCGGGTCACCGAATTAAAAAAAAAGAAATTACCAAAATTTCAAACTTGTAAGAAAGGATTCAAATTTTAATAAAATAATCAAAAATACGTTGGTTTTTCCTCTTAATAATAACAAACATTTTGACGGTGAAAATTTGTTTTTATTAAGTTTCATCATGCTATGCTGTTTTGCGGCGAAAAAGTGGCGGTATACACAGAAAAGAAATACAAGATAATATATATATACGAAACACGAAGAAAAAATTGATAAAAATAGACTTATAGGCATCCCCCATAACCGATCCTCTAACTGCTTTGGGGTGAGTGACGGTGAAGGTGTTTCTTTGAAAATCACCGGCATTTGTTGACGGCAAGTGTGAGATGGAGTGGGTGAGGGTATTTCTTTGAAAATCGCCGGCATTTGTTGACGGCAAGAGTGTATGGAGTGGATGAAGGTAATTCTTTGAAAATCGCCCGCCATTTGTAGATGGCAAGAGTGAGATGGAATGGATAAAGGTATTTCTTTGTAAATCGCCGGCATTTGTTGAAGGTAAGTGTGAGATGGAGTGAGTGAGGGTATTTCTTTGAAAATCGCCGGCATTTGTTGACGGCAAGAGTGAGATGGAGTGAGTGAGGGTATTTCTTTGAAAATCGCCCGCCATTTGTAGACGGCAAGAGTGAGATGGAGTGGATGAAGGTAATTCTTTGTAAATCGCCGGCATTTGTTGACGGCAAGAGTGAGATGGAGTGGGTGAGAGTGTTTCTTTGAAAATCGCCGCCAGTGTGACGCCGACAACAGATCAGTACTGAAGAGTGTAACGGACGGACGAACTAAGTAACTATCTAAGGAAGGAACAAGTAAAATTAAAATAAGATGTCCCACCGTCAAGTTGCCGCCCTGTACCTTTTCTATAAATAATTTCATGGTAATTGTTCAGGTGTGCTCTTCGCTATGGTACCTAGGTTTTATGAATTTAAGCACAGTATTAAACTGGCAACAATATTTCGTCAATTCACAGTTGACTCGGTGTTGTATCTTGTGTTTTCGGGATAACAGAGGAAATAAATAAGGAAGACAAACTCATAGGTAAGTAATGAAATGGACGGTTTACTACTACACGAAGGTACAATTAACAATTTACGTAATACTATCTTAACGGAGGATTCCATTCATCTATGTCCTATATTACAGTCGGCTAGATGTAACCGTAAGTTCTATACTAACAGTTTCTTTTCTCGCCTGTGGAACTCTCTTTGTGGAACTCCATTTTTTCCACTCAATTTTAATCTTCCAAAATTTAAATGCAATGTCAATCGTTATCTACTGTTTTCCTGATTACTCTTCTTTTGTTCTTGCTGCTTAGTAATAATGTTTCTGATTTCTAAATCTTTCACATCCAGTAAAACTTTGTGTCTTAGTGGCTTTACTGCCTTGCTTGGGGTGAAATCTCTCGCTCTCTCACTCTCTCTCTCTCTCTCTCTGTATATATATATATATATATAGTTAGAGAGAGAGACAATTGCGTCTAGCATGAAACAGCCTGTCGCCTCTGAGTGTTGACGTCAATGTTCACTTTTATATTTACATGCGCTCTATCTCTGATATTGAGCACTTCAACCTGTAAATATAGCACACCTTAAAACTATATTTCTTCATCTTCTTTATATATATATATATATATATATATATATATATATATATATATATATATATATATATGTATGTATGTATTATAAAACAGACCATTTATTTAAATATTTGTATGTATTAAAATAACGTATGAACAGAAAATATATTAAAATAATTGTCGGACTTAGTCCATTTCATAATATATAATGTCATGTGATTACTTCAATGGTTCACAACGTGGGCTGCATGCCCCACCGGTGGGGCATGGTAATATTTTGGTGGGACATGCGTACGATGTGCACTTTTCGGCTTATTATACCAACAGAATAAGGGGACAATTCAAGAATGAGTTATTAACTGTGCATTGTTTTCTAGTGAGTCTGAGTGAGAGTGTTAATATTAATGCGTGTTAATACATAGGAAGCATATACAATATGCATACATAAAATATTTTGTGTGTATGTACGTACATGTGTAATCGGCATACATGTAAGCCCCAAATCGGTTGGGAACTACTGGAATACGTTATGATACGCTTCCAGCAGATATGAACGTTTGAGAGAAATCATGGAAATTTGTAGTTTAAAAACACTAATTTGACCTTGCTAACCAGACGCTTCCACTGTAGCTAAATAGTATAGTTCGTCAGGCTATATGATGGTTCCGTGTAGGATACAGGTTCGTATTCCTGTAGGAGGACACATTTTTTCTATGAAATTTCTCGGACATTCAGTTCGGTAAATGTTGTTAATACTGTTTATTATAAAACAGAGCATTTACTTAAATACTTATATCTATAAAAATATCGTATGAACAGAATATATATATATAATTGCTTAAACGTTATCTTTAGATCTTTATATATATATATATATATATATATATATATATATATATATATATATATATATATATATATATATATATCAGGTGACAAAGGGAAATTTCTATATAACGTTAAAAGGACTCATCAGAATAAATTAAGGTTCTGAATGGTGGAATAAAATATATATGTAGGGGAGGGACGAATGTAAACGTAAACATCAGTTAAAATTACGCATCAAGGGAAAACACTGAAGTGACGAAAGCGGCAGTCAAATTAAGTTTTATTTACAGCATTCAAACCGAAATCTTGCTATGTCTGCCTCCCCAACAGCGTACAAATCCATGATACCCTTTTCTCTTTGAGAATATATCTTTCTCAGATATAGGTCGCAATCCTTAATTTGGGAAAACCCAAAACTCGCTGTTTCCCGTTCGTGGAATATCTCCTCGTCTGGGACATAGTAGATGAATCCGACCCGTTTGAATCAGAAGTCCTAAACATAGCTTCTCCAGATACAGGAGTATCTCCATATTACATGTAAGATCCTTCCTTTTCGTTTCTCCTTACACTCTGCTTTACTGTGTACATATATATGATATATTGTTTTCTGCGTCGGACACTTGTATATATGTATATATAATTTTGTGTATGTTTTAGTGGTACAAAAGTCTCTCTGAGAACAAAGCATATTTGTCATTTCTTTTTCCTTTCAGAAATCCAGTACCATCTGTGAAGTACGGTGTTATTATATCACGAATAAGATAATGCCCATAACAGAGGAAATACAAATGGGAGAATAATGTTTTCCTTAGTTCTCTCCTGTTATAAAAGCAAATATGATGTGTTCGATCAATTTTGAAATTTATTAAAATTTGAGAATTTCAAATGTAGAAACAAATATTTTATTAATACCATTTTGGGGCTTGTAGCAGTAGAATAAACATCAGTATAGATATAGATAGATAAATATTGCAACCCATTGCAGTTTATTTAAAGCTCTAAAATGGATATTTTAAATTGTAAGACGTTTTTTAATTAATGGTTTTGGTATACAAGTTTTACTAATTAGCATATACCTGGAGGAGAAGAGGTACATTCATACCTTCTCCAAGGAGTATTTACGCGTAAGTGAATATAATGAACCCAACGGGAATTGGAACTCAGCTCACCGATTAACAATTTCAGGCCATTATGCATTGCACAAGCTACACAACACTTGGTAATTCCAAACGGTCACTCATCTATGTACTGACCAGGCTCGACGTTGCTTAACTTCGGTGATCGTACGGAAACAGGTGTGACGTGGCCAGACGGATAGATAACGAATATACTTTGATAGATAGATAGATAGATAGATAGATAGATAGATAGATAGATAGATAGATAGATAGATAGATAGATAGATAGATAGATAGATAGATAGATAGATATTGCTTAGTAACTGACACAATTGTATATTTCTCACTTACAATGATGTTCGAGCCCCATTAAAAGCTGGGTTTCTGTTGTGTATGATACACCTAATTTACATAAGTGGAGTACCGACCATATAAATATGGGTTGGTACCGGAAGACGACGGAAGATTAAGAGATCGAATCCAGAGACTCTGCCCGACTGCGACTTAGTCAACCCATTCTGCAGGAACAGTCTTCCCAAGAATATACCAAAACTACCTGTAAATATTGTGTACCTTTTTTCATTGTTTCAATACATTTTGTTACGTACATTTTGTGTTGTATTATTATTATTCCATGCTTATTCAAGCTTCAACAGTTTCAAATCGTGGTATTCAAAGAGGGATAAGATATGAATAGTAACATACAAATACTTATATTATAGTCCAAATCTCGGAATCGATTTCTGTCTCTTTCAACACTAAATCAGCAGCCAGCAAACTGGTGACAGATAATTCGCTCCGACACAAGCTCGAGTCATCTTTATTATTACTATATGCATTCTCTACAAACGAACGACACTCTTTCCCAGACATTCTAAATCATAGACACACAAAAATATCACCCTGCTGAGTCCTCCGTGAATTAAGACTTAAACATTCTTCGAATGACATTTAAGTATATAATCATTCTACTTACTAATTATTCGCGTCGACGCTCATCTGTAAGTGACAGAATAAACACTCTAGAGGTAGAAAAAAATAGGTTAAGTTTTACAAATATTTGATTGCGCAAACACTGACGAGTATAGCCTGTAAATAGAGAAAAAAAGAAAATTAGTTTAACATAGAACTTTCGAATTGCTCGTGACTTCCATATCGTTTCAAATTACCTACGATTGTCATAAAATAGATAAACATTTTTGCCACCTAGCGTAAAGTCGTCTTCAACAATACCTTGTTAACCCTCATACCACGGTATATGAAATCTAGTAGTGTTCGGCTAGTTCTTTACCACGATTAGAGATGTGGAAGGTTTGTAGATTACTTTGTTATAAACACGGTAGCACGAGAGAACAAAGGAAACGACAAGTGCCGCCAATGAGTGTATTAGGAAAAGATGACAAGAAGTGTAAATATCACATTTATTCTATTGCCGATACAGAGAATACGAGCGGAGAGTGTCTTTGTGTGCAAAGGGAGCGACTTTGAGGAAGAGTAAAGTTGGTAGGGCCTGGAGTTGATGCGTGTGTCGGGTCGGTTGATCGTGGTGGTGACACTGAGAACTTGTCGGTGGCGTCCGACAGCTTGCCCGTTCGCCGTGATTCTGTTTCAATCTTTATGAGCTGCTTTCTTACAATTCATCTTTTTTTTCTGTGGTAGCAACGTTCGTGATTGGATTCTTTTATATTGTATACTATATTTTTTTTAAGGAGATTTGTTTTGTGGGCTGGATGTGATGCTCGGGGCCCCTGTGCAGAGGACGACTTTTTTTATTTTTGGTTTTACTTTCTTAGCGTTCACATTCGGCCGACATGTAGAATGAATTAGAAAGAGATTTAATTTGAAGCAGAGTATAACAGATGTTGTGGTAAACGTATTCATTGTGTATGCATAAATTTCTTTTTAAATCTCTAGAACTTTACTATCATATATATATATATATATATATATATATATATATATATATATATATATATGTGTGTGTGTGTGTGTGTGTGTGTGTGTGTGTGTGTGTGTGTGTGTTAGGGACAGCGTTAAGCTATTGGATTAATCATTTCCAACTGGGCCCTGCGAGTCCCATATTGATAATTCCATTATAGGTTTGTATTCTACTCTACTCTTTGAAAACTATGTCCCGCCACGACAAAATTGTTCTCAGTTGTTTGATCCACACCCCCCACCGATATATATATATATATATATATATGTAATTATTATTTAAAAAAATATGATTCCACAAATTACTATGTTTAGAATTATAATTTTAAGCTCTACTTCTGTATCGAGCACTGTTTTTTAAAAATAAAAACATAAATACAAAAGAACATTGGATCATTAATCTAACTGTTCTTTTCTATTACATCAATATACACACACATATATAAATGCTCGGTGTGTGTTCAGTCTATCTAAATATGAAATGCTCATTCGAACAAAAATTTCTTGATATATATATATATATATATATATATATATATATATATATATATGAGGCAGACAGACAAACAAATACTCTGTCTGAATATAAAAATCAACACTGCATTGTGACGATCAATTTCACACCTCAAGGATTTCAAACCATATCTATCTATTTTAGGTGGATATTCAATAAATCTAGATAAGTTCAAGTGACTTAACTGGTTTTTGAAAGTAGATAACGTTTGATCCTAGTGATCAAGGCAGCATCCTTTCCCGAGTCTGTTTCACAAAATAGTGGTACTTGGGAAGAAGCTGCTTGAATCGAACGTTCTTCATACCAGCAGAATACGAATGGAATAAATTTAGCACACATATGGCCTTGTTAAAGCAGCGATCCACCAAAAAATAGGTTACCAGGGTACTTCTAAGGGATGGTTTAGAAAGAAAAAAAAACGAGAAGGAAAATAAAATGAATTAAAAGTGAAAAAATAATGCAAATATATTTGCACCAAATTTACAGAATACACGATGTTAAGCCAAAAATTGTACAGACATTCGCCATAAGATGTCATTAAACATGGCCGCTTCACTAACAGTGTGCACCAAGGAGGAACAAAGAGCAGTGATCCGATTTCTCTTGTCCGAAGGTGTGTCGATGCTGGAATTCATGGTGGCTTTTAACACAATACGGCAACAGTGCACTACTGCATAGAAGTGTGTATGAGCGGATCGACACGAGGCCTCCCCGAGGGGGGCATTCATTAATCGTGACTGGTGGTAGTTCGGAATCCGATCGGCGATGTTGGAATTTTATTTGAGGCATTGAATGGAACCAGCCAGCTTTTTCCCCATTGAGATTTTATTGCGTCTCAATTTCACCCCCAGATCCCAAATTGAACTCACATTTAGAATCCATTGACAAAGATGCAGTGAAAAATGGTCAGCTGTAAAATGGTCAGCTTGTACTGATAGAAAAATAAATAAGTAAAAGTAAACAAATAATAACAAAGGATACCAAAATTTTACCATCTCTAAAAATAAATGTATATTCAGAATCGCTAGCCCATAAAGTCATATTTCGACCAACTCATCAGAAGCCGCCCCGACCAGGATGCGAACAGCCTAATCTAGCGAGAAAATCAGAAATAAGAGTTGTTCCCAACCATGATATCAGGTTGTGAGCCAATCAGAAACGGAGTTGCACTTTCGAAGCGGATCTCTAGATATGTATATACCGAGCCGGACAAATCAACCTAAATTGGGATTTTTAAGCAAGCCGCAACTATATTTGAATGTATGCATACATACATGCAGAGATATATTTACATTCTCCTGGAGACACACACACACATTCCCTCTCTCTCTCTCTCTCTCTCTCTCTCTCTCTCTCTCTCACACACACACACACACACACACGTATGCACCAGGACATTTACATTTGAACCTCCAAATTTCACATTATCCCTCTGTATTATGTGTTATACAATATTTTGTATATATTAACAGTGGCGCATTTGGGTCTAAAAATATTGATTGGAGACAAATGGTGGCCACCCACAACTACAAAGATATTTAATTTTCAAAAAATACATACAGAAAAAAAGACACAGTTAAATTTTGTATGGAAAAAATGTGTATTTCTTAGTAATTATAGTGCACCTGTACTATACATATTACTGGCAGTAGATAACAAATGTAAATACAGAATGTTTAACTGAATTTTTATGCACTCTTTTAATTTTAATTGGTTGATATTTTTAATAGTTTACTGCACAATTTACGCATTCAGTGATAGTTCAAAAAGCACAATAGAGCATTGCAGGCAGTCCATTATATTAAGATTAACTGTTTGTATTCACAAGATGATTGTTCTAATGTGCCAATAACTGCTTCTGCATCCAATTCATCTAGTAATTATTTTTCAATGGATAGCAACATGTATGATTTCAAATTCTTCTCAGACAGCGAATTTTTTAATCTTCTCTTTATGATCATTAACTTTGGAAATGTCTTCTCACTGATAAGGATTTTTCAGCGAGCCCACGACGCTACCGAATGTGACAAAAAGTCGAGGTTTACCGGCAATACCGTGGAAAAAATTGCTCAACCCCACTCGAAACTTGCCCATTTGAGGACGCTTCAGTCGCTGGGTAATTCTTAACCAATTCAGAATTGATTTGGGTCTCTAGTAGTTTGCCAAAAAGTGGTAGAAGGCTAATGGGCCAATTTTTATAAGGGTCAGACGATTCACCGAATTCTTAAAGACTAGAAGAAACAGAAGAGGATTTCCAACAAGCAGGAAAGCAAGAGGTACCGAGGCATTTATTATATAGTTTAGAGAGAACAAGAGTCAGTTCAGGAACACATTTCTTAAGGACTATTACAGGGATATCATCAGGCCCATATACTTTGTGGGGATCCAGATTAGAGATGACAGCAGAAATCATGGATGGAGTTATATGCATATCTCTCAGTTCTAAGTGGAAAGTCAGGTAAGGGTATCCCTGATGAGTCAATATTAGATTTTGAAGAGAATTTACGGGTAAGACATTCTGTTTTATCAGCAGATGTTAACACCTCAAATTGAGTGAATAGAGGAGGAATAGAAAACTTACTCTTATTTGATTACACTATTACAGAGAGACACCAACTGTCACGAGAGCCAAAGTTGTTAGATGCAATAAGATGCCTAATTCTCTCAGCAAAGACTTAACACCATCGAGGACACGTTTACATTTATTATATGCAGCCACGAATATGCGTCTGT